GGGTCTGGGTCCGTTTACCCAAAATGTTGATCGAAGTCAAATTTATTCATTTTAACATCAAAATTTAGCATTTTTCACAAAATTTCATATTTAAGCTTTCCGGATACGTGCCCGGACTGCGCATGCAAATCGAGGCAACTCTAAATGAGGTTTTCAAGGCCTCAGAGGCACATAATGGGTAATAAAACAGGTGATGACCATTTGGGTTGTCACACCCCGTCTCCACCTCGGCCTCTCGAGTCGGAAGCGGATCGGCCTCGTGGATTCTTTCCTTGATTGTCGCCCGCTCCTCGGTAGGGGTCTATCCATGGGAGACAAAGATTTCATCTTATTTAGGCTCATCCCTGAGCCAGTGAAGCAAGTCAGAAACAGGTTCCCGGGACTTGAGAATTATTCTTGGGCTTGTGAACCCGGGTGGCCGCCCTCTTTTTTATATTCACCTCAGAATCTGGGTAACCCAAGGAGTTTCTTTTCCTTTTCTTCTCCTTCGTGGCAGCCTGGGACTGTCCCAAAACAGAGGGTTCGATGGGTAAAGACGTATCCTCGTCACCATCCAGTGGCCTAAGTTCGATGGTCTTAGGCAAATCTATGAGGGAAAAGAGATGGTCAACATCGTGTAAGTGTGGGGTGTAATAATAACTATTCAGGGAGAGCCTTACCATGAGAACGGGCCTCCCATTTTCCCTTTGAAAGTTTGCGCCACGTGCGCTCGTAGTATGACATCCGCTGGTAGATCCCTTCGATCCTTTCCTTGAGTCGGGAGATCGCATTAGGAACCAGAGCAACAGTTGTACGACCATAAATATTGGTGATGAGAGAAGAAATGAATGGAAATTGACACTTAAGGAAAGACTACACTTACGAGATGCGTTCCACTTCTCGGGAATGGAGGAAACTCGGGAGCTATCAGGTCTTCAGTCTTTACCCGAACAAAGTGTCCTTGCCAACCTCGGTCTCGATCCTCAATGATGCTCGAATAATGGGCCTTGCTGGCTCGGTGAACAAGCTTGATTAGTCCCCCTCGGAAAATTTGTGGATTGTACAGACGGATTAGGTGGTCGAGGGTGAACCGAGGGGATTCGGTGTTGTTCATGAAATGGCGTAGGAGGATCACGATCCTTTAGAAGGACGGGTGGATTTTCCCGAGGCACACCTCGTACCTCTTGCAAAAGGTCAGTATTACTGGGTCTACCGGGCCCAGCATAAAAACGTAAGTGTAAACACTTAAATACCCCTCCATGTAGATAGCGATATCATCTTTAGGCCCGGGGACAACCACGTCCTTGCCTTCCCATTTATAGTCCTCTTGGATTATGGGAAGGGTATCCTAAGTGCCTCAGTCTTGTTTGACGAAGGCCTTCTTGACATTGAAATCATCTCTGATAAAACAGCACCCAGGTATGAAGCTTTTCATAGGAGGCTCTGGAAGCACCTCGGGGACATCCACCTCGACATTTGTGGCCGGGTGGGAAGATGAAGGGGTCGTTTTCTGTAGGTACAAACTTGGAAGTTTTGGCCATCGTAAATCTAGGAAAATATATGAAGATTTGAGAAAGGTATATGAAGATATGAAGTTATGGGTTAAAAATCCAGGGAAAAATGTGAAGATTTAAAGATTAAAGATGAAGATGTAAAGATTCAAGAAGCGAGGTATGAAGATTTGAGATAGTTGAAAGCCTTTATAAAGTCGAATGTAAGAGTTAGGATTAGAAAGTAAAAGAAGTGAAGGGGGTCGAAGCTTTTATAGGGGGAAATGTAATTAATACACGATATTTCACATTCGAAGGCAACCGGTTGATGATCGACACATGTCTGAAGTCAGAACGCGCGACTGATGGGATGCTTTGGCTTATCCGTCATCTCGGTTGTAACGTGCGAAGGAAGGAACCAGAATTCATCTATTATTTCGGAAAACTTACTCTCTGAGAAACGAGGGGACTATCTGTATACAGGTGAAACCGGGGCTAACACGTACCCCAATTTCCCGGTGAATCAAACGAAGCAAGGATATGACTATATAGGATCGGAACTAGAGCAGGGAACTTCTCGTACCAAGGCCCGAACGGAGTGCTCGCCACCGAGCCTGATAAGACAACACTTCCCCAAATCCAGAACAAGCTCCGAGACCTTGGAAAGCATGACAATGGTTGCACACGACTAACAGAGGGCTGTGACGTTTGTAACGGATCAGTAATTGACAAGAAAGGAGGATTTTTACCTTTTTTAGAATAGTACTAGGGATAAAACTCTCCTACTATATAAAGGGGAAGCTTTTTATTCAATATGACACATTGTAACACGCAAACTAAGGCAATATAAATTTATTTTCCTGCTCTCTAGCTGTTGGAAAATTCTTATTTTACTGTTGCTCTTTACACGAAATTGGCTTCGAGTTGAGGGTCCGGATGAGGGCAGAACTACTGTCCAACTTTAATCCAAGTCCGGCCTTAACGTCACAATTGGTTTGATTACTCCTTTGTTTTTAACTCGTTTATCTAACTTTCTTTGTTATTTGTGTCGAATCTACCCACACATCATTAAAATCGCGTATAAATTCAATTGCTATCCATTTTAAGGGTAAACAATACTTAAATATTATACTTAGGATTCGAACTAATGCTGTAAAAAATTGACTCTACATTGTCACTACACTTGAATCTTCCCTAGTATAGAGAGGATTCTACAGTCTCTATGTAATTAAAAAATCGTGTTTGTCTTAGTAGTATAATATAACTCTCCGACAAAGGGAATTTAGTTAACCCCTTGCCAAAAGATAGTTTTGCCGCTTGTCTCAGTCACTCTTTATAAAAAAAAAAAAAAAAAAAAAAAAAAACTATGATTGCTCCTATTATTAAGTGTTAACACGTAAAATCGTACCGTTAAATTTATAAATGATTTACAGACAAGTAAATTGATTTGATCCTAAAATGATAAATAAATTAGTCGAAAATGTAAGACTTAGCATGAAATCGAGGTAAACGTAGTAATAATATTAATTGATAAGAAGATACAATATTATTGAGATTTGAACAAAGTATAGTATTAGTTTGTCGAAAAATTCATCCTCCTTACAATGGTTCTAGAGCTCAATATTTATAGTTGCACCTAGGGATTAAGGTCCTAGGATCAAGCCCCTTTTTAATAACAATTATGAGGGCCATTGAAGAATGTGTAACGGTAGGCAGTGAATGTCATATTCTCTATAACGGACCATGTATTTAATGTTATGAAATATTCTCCATTAAATGTTACCGAGTGGCAGGCATTTACTTCGGCTTTATGAATATTATTCTCTTTGATAACAAACGAGATTATTGCTTTCAGACTTGATTGTCTTCTGTCTTCAGCTCCACGCGTCGCTTTATCATGCGAGCATTTAATATGAACATATTTTACCCCACATACTAAGAAGGATTATATAAATAATCGGCCGGATTCTTTGTATACTTTTTCTAGTCAGTATGCATAAATCATATATTGAATACACAATTTATATATATATATGCTATTTTTTATTTAAGTGGTTAGATGTCGAGTATTTAACTTAATTCTTCTACAAAAAAATGCTATTGTTCCTTTTTACCAAAAAAAAAAAAAAAAACAAGAAAACGAACAAAATGGTAGGTGTTCTCTTACTTGATAATTTAAGACAGTGTTTTCAAGTTATTTATTTCTCCGGTTTAATCACCGATGAAACATGTTGATTGTATTAATCAAACGACGGAAAATATAAGTGAAAAGAATAGAATATCAGGTAGAAATATTGAAATTTTACAGCTGAAGAATTAAGCTTCAGCCCGTAGTATTGGATCTAGTTATTATCTTGTATATTATAAGCGCCAGATCGATTCTCACCTATCTTAAGCCTCCCCCACCAAAGAAATTTAACACAGAACTAGTAAAAGAAGGCTAATTATAATCTTCATATGGGAAATCATCATTTTTTTCTAATTTTACTGCAGTAAGTGCTCCCTTTTGTGGCAATTTGCACGAACTTGGTATAATTTTTAAACGTGTGGTTGAAATAAGTTTTAACTATCTATATATTGTTCCAACCAAAAATTATGAGTCAAGTTGTACATCTCACATTGCCTAGAATCTAGTATTGTTCTTTTATTCTTCGTATTCTTTAGCCTGAATTGTTTAACCAAAAATCTGAGTCTTTGGTCAAAGCTAAAAAGAAATTCGGGTTACTGATAATTAGGAGACAAAAATAAAATACTTTTGAGAACGATGGTAAAAAAGCAAATAGATGTGTATTTCAATAAATTCTCAATAGTATTCCGTGTCCTTACAAATGATGATACTTCTTCCTTTTATAGATAATTCTAGGTAAAGGAATGAAGCCTCGGCTTTAATGATATAATCATGAGTAATAAATGACATTAAATAAGCCGTTATACAATCACTCCTATTAAATACCAATTTTGTAACGTATCAAGTATTTAATAATGAATTTGGACTCCTTTCTGTCATCAGATCTTTGCCTTCAATGCCTTCTAATCCGTTGGCTGTAAATAATTTAAAGTGGTACGAGACTCGTATCTATATGTCGTCTCGTGCCTATTTAAATTCTTCTTCCCGTGGTTGTCTTCATCCGTGCCTCTTTAGTCAATTGCTGCGCTTTGACCATTTAACTAATCCACGTGTCATGTCACATCATCTTTAATATAAACTCAGTTTTTTCCCAATACAGATAGTCCCCCCACTTTCCATTTTTTTATCAATTAAATAATTGGGAAGTGGATCTTCATGTAAAAGGAATTTTTGCCACAATTAATGCTCATGACAGTATTAACGCCTCAGCAGTCTTTTCCATTTAATGTTCTGCCCATGTGTCATTTTCTAATTGATTCCGCTATTCATACCCTTTTTCGAGACTTCTTCATTCTCACTATTTACGAAGTGATAGTTGCCTTTATTATAGGCTTTTCATCATTACACTTCTAAAGTTGACGGTTCCCATTTTATATATAACTTTGTCTTCCTTTGTCTTCTTCACAAATCTTCAGCACATACTTCCTTCTTAACAATGTCTTCTTCAAACCCTAACCGTAAAAAAGTTCCAATTCTAGATCAATTCCCCAACGCCCCTGTTAGACACAGAAGAGGCGGAGGAGGTAGGCTTCGAACAGGGTTAGAATCTACGCGAGGCGGCTCCTCTGGTTCTTCTTCAAGGAGTTCTATCCCAAAAGCCCCTTCTTCTAAAAGTAGGGAAATTCTTGATTCTTCTCAAGAACCCTCAGTTGATGATATAGTTCCCGGCGATTTGTCTTTTGAAAGTGACAAAACGTCTCTTCAAAAACAAATTAAAAATTTAGAAAGAGCCGATACTTACCCAACAATAGTAACCGAGCTTACAATCCCCACCATAAGAAGAGATTGTAACTGGAAGGATAGTCTCCGAATGTCAATTCCTTCCCCAAATCAAAGAATTTCCTCTTTTAGAAGTGGGTATTCTTCTGTTTACACTTACCCCTTCACTTTAGGTTTTAATCCTCCGATTGACCCAGTTATTCTCGATTTTTGTCGTTTCTTTACAATTTGTTTGGCCCAAATCGGTCCATTGGTGTGGAGAACAGTGGCTTGTTTGAGATATTTATCCTCCAAGGCCAATGTCAATTTCACCTTTTCTCACCTCATTCATCTATACCATCCTAACTTAATACGCCATGGGGTTTTTACCTTAACTGCAAGGAGCAAAAAAGTTTTGGTAAATCCTGAGGATGACAAAGATCGTGGATGGTATATCCGTTACGTTGCTGTTCGTACGGTGGACTTGATTGGCGAAACAAATATTCCCTTCCCTGAGAAGTGGAATTTTGAACGTAGGTTTCCTTTTATTTACCGTACCTACTTTTGAGAATTTCAAAAGAAAGTTTGTTTTTAACCTCGTCCCTTCTTGGTTTTTTGTAGCAACCATGGGAGATGTGGAACCTATTCCCAACTTCCGTGGTTGGGTAGACTCACTTTTGAAGATTGCTTCTAGGGAGCAGAGAACTTGGAAATCAATTTCTTCCTTACATGGCTGGAAGGTCAAAACACATGGTATCCCTCCTTTTTTATAAATTTTTTTTTACATGTTAAGCACTTTTTCCTCAACTTTAATCATGTATATCCATCCTTTAATCAGGATTTGGCATTAGAGGAATGACGGCTGAAGTAGCTATGGTCATTTGCATGTCTGCGAATGCTGCTCTTGATTTGGATAAGGCTCGAGCCTTGCTTCCTAAAAGGAAAGCTACAAAGGAAAGTTCTGAAGAAGAAGAGGAGGGTACCTCCCTAATTACCAGGCCAAGGGTCAGGATACGAATAATCATTGATGATGAAATTGAAAACACTCCTGCTCGAACCTCCACCACCGAGCCTGTTTTGATTCATTCTGACGAGGACGCCGAACCAAGAGATAATAATGAGTCAATTCAGCATCTTTTTGACAGTGGTTTCGGAAGTGGCGAGCTCGGCCCTGTTTTTTATGAAGCTCCTCTTTCCTCATTTGTTCCTATTTCCTCCATTCCTTTGCCAACTGTAAGTATTTCTTTACCAGTTTTGACGACTTCCGTTCTTTTGCAGGTTTCTACCGCTCTTATATCCGTTCCCTTGGCTGTTTCTACCGCACCTGCTTCCGCTCCTGCGTTGGTTTCTACATCTTTTCCTTCCATTCCTTCCATTGCTCCTCTTCCCTCTGTTCANTTGAGAAGTGGAAGTTTGAATGTAGGTTTCCTTTTATTTACCGGACCTACTTTTGAGAATTTCAAAAGAAAGTTGTTTTTAACCTCGTCCCTTCTTGGTTTTTTGTAGCAACCATGGGAGATGTGGAACCTATTCCCAACTTTCGTGGTTGGGTAGACTCACTTTTGAAGATTGCTACTAGGGAGCAGAGAACTTGGAAATCAATTTCTTC